ACCGCCGTGATTTTAGCACAGAGTCCGATCTTGGCCCGATCAGCTAAGCCGTATCACCCGAAGGCATCCAATCACAATACCACCATGTGCGCGGCAAGGTGTCCGATCTCGGCTCGATCGGCTAAGTCGTCTCACCACAATGCCGTGTGGGTTGACATATTCTTCCACTAGCAATCATCTCATCACAATCAAGGGGAATATCTCAATACATCAATCACATCCCAATTAGGGGAATAATATCAACACATCAATACGGGGATTTACCACTCAATCACTCCTATACCGGCACGTGTAGTTTCGGGGTGAGGTCGTTTCAACCTACCCTTCCTCGATGACTAGCGATAGTCCCAAAATATTTATTATACCAAGGAATTTAAAGCTCATGTCATACTCTTTCTCGCATCATTTCATTTTATTGGCATTATTGGTCATAAGTATAATTTTTATTCTTGGCACGATGGTTACATTTTACATCTCACTTATTTCTTTCGCTTTCAAGAATCATTATAGATTATTAACAATAAAAAAAAATTGTAATCAAGATATTAAATATGTATATGAGCAATAGAAGTCTTAAACACATTGAATTTTCCTTCCAAGAATTAGGCATAATAAATATTGCATTTGAAACATGAATTGAAGTCATAGTATTATGATACATAAACCATACTTGAATACATTCCCGAAGGAGAGCATAATATGATAGGAGTATTTGTAACTAGTAAACCTTAGTTCTAACAGATATGAAAAACTAATCCTAACATATATCAAAAAGACAAGCTTTTCTCTTCCACACTTGGCTACCGTGTGCTTCCGTGTTTTGGCAACACTACATATTTACTGTATTTATTTTTTCCACTACAACTTATAAAGGTATTTGGTTTCTAGCTCGCAGTCATGCATATTCCTACTAATTTATGCATTGACTTCTAATGAATTTTTCGATCATCTAATCCCATATTTTCTCTATCATAGAAGTATTGGATTATTAGAATTGCACTAAATTATATTCTTTCAACCAATAAGAAAAGGGGATATGTATCTGTACCCGCTTTTTGGGTCACGTTTTAACTTATATCCGCTTTGCAAAAAAATTGCAAATGTACTCACTTTTCGAATAAACTTCAGGCATAGGGGCCTGAAGTAGCAAAGGCAATCACGCAAACTTCACCATTCTAGTAGACGGACCTGAAGTTGTTTGTAATTGCTGAACTTAAGCATTCTACTAGCTGAAGTTTTGTTCTCTATTTGCTGAACTTCAGCATGTTTTAGCTGAAGCTTTTCGCGTAAACTTAGTGTTGGCTGAAATTTTTGTTTGTAATTGCTAAACTTAAGCATTCTACTAGCTGAAGTTTTGTTCTCTATTTGCTGAACTGCAACATATTTTAGCTGAAGTTTTTCGCGTAAACTTAGTGTTGGTTGAAGTTTTTGTTTGTAATTGCTGAACTTAAGCATTCTACTAGCTGAAGTTTTGTTCTATATTTGCTGAACTTCAGCATATTTTAGCTGAAGCTTTGTTATGTTTGTGATGAACTTCAGGGCTGAAGTTTGTTTTGTATTGAAGATGGAATTTCTCATCTTTCTACTGATACAGTTCATAAAATCCTTTTGATCTTTCTGGTTGGGTACAAAGCATGTTATCTGAGCTCAACAACACTTCAGTTCCCTCTAATTTCGACATAAAAATCTCTCTAGTTTTATTCGGTTTGCGTCCATAAAAACAGTCCCTTAATAGATCTCGTCACTAATGAGATGGATTTCTTTTGCTTCAATGAAACTAAGAATGAGCTCAAACTCGTTTCGGCTTAGTGTTGTGCCCAACGGGCTTGATGGGTTGGTCACTAGAACACCTTTCACTCTAAGGTTTCGCCTTTTGGCTTCTAGATAAGCTTCTTCAAGAGCGGATTCTGTAATTCTGAAGCCATTTGAACTTGTGCACTGTATTGGCACAATCTCAGATCCAGTTCTCCATTTGAGGTCTCTGTCGAATCTGCATTGCATAATGCAAAAGAACCATCAGTAAAGAATGAATAGAGTCATTAATGGGGGGAGTAGTAGTTATTTTTGTAGGAAGGACTAGTAAAATAATTAATAGAACGTAACGTACCCAGGGTAGTATGGGGTAGGAAGGAGAAAAGCCTCGCCTTGGTCAGCTAGGCAAAACATGAGAGTTTCATTTGCGGAAGAGGAAAGAAAGGAGGAAGAAAGGAGCGCACAGGTAGCAAGAAGAAGGAGGCGCCTGAAGTTGTAAAAATTAAGGTATATGTTAAATAATTTTAAAAATATGGGTATAGGTTAAAGAGGACGACCAAATATGGCGTCCCGTGCAATTTTTACGTAAGAAAGGATATATATTCATTTTTACTTTAAGGTAGCCTAATGGAATCCTACGTCAGGCTCTCCGCTTAGTGGATATATTAGGAGTTAGCTATAAACCAAGACAAAATCATAGTGTTAATTAGATAGCATAAGCCTCGTACGTCATACTTTTAACGTTCTTATATATGAAATGACAGAAATAGAGATGCTTTACACGAAAAATCCACTAAATATTAGACTTTTCGACGATCAAAGTCTTTCCTAAAGGTACGGCTAGAAAAGAATAAACAAATTAAGTAGACTTAATGACTTTGTTCCTAGGAAGCAAAATGCATTAGAAATTTTTATCATGACTTGCAATATGATAGACTCAAAATAAACAAGAACATTATTTCATGATATTAAAAAGAAATCTTTATAAGATTATTTTTCCGTTCCTAATTATTAGTCTCATTTCTAAGTTCTACTATGCATTGTTACTTTCTTTTTTAGTTTAACGAATTTATATACATATATCAATAGTGTAATTTTTTTTAAATATTATTAAGTCATCTTTATCTGCTATAGCAAGTAGCCTTATTTTCAAGGTTTCAAATCTCATTTTTATGAGGATTTCATGTAAATATCATTTGAATAACATGATATTATAAAAATTCTTTACCTTGTTTTGTTGGTTTTTGTAATATTTTAGATTTCAATAGGAAGAAAGATCTTTTTAGTATTTTAATTCAAGATGATAATTTTAATCCAAACAAAAGTTTCCCGTTTTGTTCAAAGGGTTGAAAGGCATCAAGTTGTTCGCAAAGCTAACAAAAAAAGAAAATTAACACTATCATAATGAATATAATTGACTGCAATATTTTGGGTTCACATTTCCTATTGAACCTTTATTAATAACAAAATGGATATCTAAACTCAGGTTTAGGTTGGTCCAACATACCTAAATCTTCCGAAATTAAATACAAAAGCTACCATCTTTGATTACTCCTTCCAATTGCATTGTGAAATTTCCACGAAGTTTAGCAAAGGAGTATAAAACGGAAAATTTCCACATTTCTGTTGTCTTTTTTTACGGGAAGAACTGAAAAAGGCCATTTAAACATAGTCGGATTTAAAATTTGAATTTTACATCGACCTTAAGCTAGTATTACAATAATAATTGATTTAAGAGGCAAATATATATATATATATATATATATATATAAAAGTGGTGTCGAAATTTATAGAAGAACTGGAATATAACTTTGATTATCATACTTTTAGACAAGAAATAACATTAGTCTACTAATTTTTTTGAGTCTTAAGTTAGAAAAGGTCCTGAGTTCAATTCTACTTTATCACAATTTTTAACCACAGAGGTTCTCTCAAATATTTTAAAAAAAAAAAGTGCTAGTTGAGGTTTGAACTTTTGACCTCTTAGAGCAAAATCAAACACATATCCAACATACCAAAAAGCAATTCATATTAAATGGGGTCATTCTTTCGTACTTATCTATTTCCATACAGTATTAATAGATATATTGGTAATTGCTAGGAAATTTCTAGGGGTGTATGAAGATAGAAAATCATGTTACGTTTTGGATGCTAATTACGTGACTCAACAGTACTCAATGGGTTAACGTGTTTCTTCTTCCTCAAGATTTTATTATTACCCATTTAAACCCTATGATAAAAGCCTCTATTTTTCTTTCAGTAGCATGTATTATGTATATAAGTTTTACTACCAAATACATAGAAACACAATCTATACATATTACATACAGACGAAACGAAATTAGTGAATAAGTATCTCATCTGATTAACCTACTCAAATATAAAAATGTAAATATTATCGTCAAATAATCAAGCAGTGATGACTGCGTTGGAAAAACTATATTCATAATTATAGAGCATTAAAAGGAAGAAATCCTTGACAAAAACACCTCTACCAGCCTTTATGTGATAATTGTAATATGCATAACCATGTCCATATATCATCTAACCAAATTGATACCTGGTCTGATTGTGGAACATATATTACTAGTACAAAGTTACAAACTTGCAATTTCCTTGATTTTAAGATTCCCATTTAATTCCAATGAAATACTAACTGTTATTTCTTCCCATGTATAGCTATTTCTTCCCCGTTTGATGGATGTTCTAGAGGTCGGACCATATTGACCGAGTAAATTTAGGTGAAATGAAAAGGTATAGCTAATATATATATATATATATATATATTCTCTGTGTTATATACAATACACATCTATTTACTTTTTTGGCTGCTTAATATGAATAGTTTTTGTCGCGAGCTAAAAGTGATAATATCCCATAAATTTAGGTGAAATGACAATGTATAGCTAAAATATATATACATTCTCTGTGTTATATGCAATACACATGTATTTATTTTTTTTGCTGCTTAAATGAATAGTTTCTGTCGGGAGCTAAAAATGATAATACCCCATAAATTTATGATATATGATGCAATACTTTATTTTTAATTAAAAGTCGAACTCTAAAAATGAAAAAAATTCTTTATTTATAATTAAATTTTTTAAATTTGAACTCTAAAAATAGAGAAACTCGTAATAAAAGACGTTTCCCTCTTGGAAGGATCCTCACGATGCAAATCTGGATTAATCTCTATGATGAGCACGGCGGATACCGAATTGCTATAAGAATTCTGTAACAATTTTGAGTCAAAAGAAAATTTTAGTTCCCCAATTGGCCAATATAACATCTCCAAAAATACCAAAAAAACGTAAATACAACAAAACGAAAAATAAAACACAGCTCAAGATACAAAAGAGACTGCACTGAAATTAGAATCTAAATCTATAGTGTGTATTTTGCCAATTGCCATTTCATTTCATGGGTTAAAAAAGAAGGAATTTGTGCCCACATTTTTATACATACATATAAATTGGTCCGATTTCCCACTTCTTTCCGGAAAAAAAAAAATACAAAAAGGACTTAGTTTTTCAGGAATCACCAGGAAAATCATGATAATTATTTATCAGTCATCTCTGCTGTTCCATCATAAGACAAAAGTCCTCGAAGCATACGAACCCATCCCCATTCTTATCCACGCCTCTTATCATACGCCGGCAATCCTGTAACGTACACCGTCCATCACCAATAGTTCTAAACACGTTGAACAACTCTTCCGCCGTTATCTTTCCGTCATGATCGGCGTCAAAGAAATCAAAAGCATCTCTTAGCTCGTCGTCACAAGACGGCGGCCCAAACGCTGACCTAATGGCACCAAATTCCTCTAAGCTAATACATCCATCACCGTCCCTGTCAACTTCATCAAGCAACAGCGTCAGTTCCTCTTTACTCGGCGGCTCGGTTCCGACTCTGCTCAGAATAGCCTCCAGCTCTTCTTTCCGTATCTTTCCGTCACCGTCAGTGTCAATCATGTGAAAGGCTTGTACCAGTTCGGCGTAAACTTCGGCCGAAATCTCAGACCATTCGTCAGCAGAGATTTCGTTGGATAAAGTGGGTAACACGCTTGTTGGCGTAGCTAGCCCATTGGGTTTTTTGAAGCCCCGATGGGACTCCGAATCGGATGAAGACGAAGTTGTGCCCGACCCGAATGATGGGTCTTCGGATCTAGAAATGGAGCGGGATTTTTTGGACTTGAAGAGCTTATTGGGGATGTTTTTGAGGAGCTTCATTATGGAGGAAACAGAGAGGAAAAGCTGTTGAAAGGAGAATTGAGGGGGGTAAGGAGAAGGAGAGAGGAAGGAGAGGGTTAAATGGAGGGAGGAAGTAGCACTCCATAGTGAGCTTCCAGGAAGTTTCCTAGCTGTGACAGAGAAAATAAGGCTATTTATTTGGGATTCGTTAAAGATTATTTTAAATTTAGGATCATTTTACTATTCAGAAATTACCGTTACTTTATCATTTTCTTTTTCTCTTTCTTTTGTCTATTCTGCATTTCTGATTACGTTTCTCTATTTGTTTTGGGAAAAGGGTCAAATTTTTCTCTCTACTCTACTAAAAGGATCAATTTTAATACCGCCCCCCCCCCCCCAACCCCCAACCAAACCCCCCCCCCCCAAATTATCCTTGACGTTACATAAATGATTTAAATATATTTCTCATTCGTTGAAACTATCATAGGTGAACTGCCGATCCAACTTGGTACTAATATTTTCACGAGGTGGCGATGGCACGTTAGGAACTCGTGTTTTAGCAATATTTTACATTTTAATTTTATGCTTTGATTGTATTTGATCCTAATTGTTAGTATTTTGTATTTATTAAGTGATAAGTTATGTTATCTTGTTGTGTTTTTATGATCTAACAAACTTAATGTTAAGAACCAGATAAGGAACCTGTTACACTTCCTCAAGTACTCAAGAACAACAAGTCTCAAGCCGGGGACATGGTTCAACATTTCAGACTCAAAGAAACAACAGAGGGAACAGATGGACACCAGTTCCCTTGCTGACTGTACCAGTCAACCCCCACAGCTGTAAAGTCGCTGCAACTATTTCTCTGCACATGCAACAGTGCAAATAGTGCAGCAGTCACTTTATGGGGAATGCACTTGTACCAAACGTGCTTGCATCATTTAACTGATGTCACTCATGTAATATTAACATGAAGCAAAGACAAAACATCACATTTGCACATCCCAGTATTCATCAAGCATTCTCTCAAGTGTGTGTCAAGTTAGCAAGTGACTTCCAAGAGCATCAACAACAAAGAACAACATAACGAAGGACCAGTTTTCTGTATTGAGTAATTGTATGTCCTTAGTTGTGTTACAACTTTGTTAAAGTAATTTACCTGTAATTCCTACTTAGCCTTAGTCAGAAGCATTGTGTAGAAAATCTTTTGTAAAATCATAAACCTTGTATTTGTGTCTTGGCTAGAGGTTAGTCGAGTTGTAAGATTTGTAATAGAGTTATTACAAAGGGGCTTGTAATAGAGTTGTTACAAGTTAGTGAGGGATAAAGAGGTTAATTCCTAGGTTACAATAGGTTGTAACCTGAAGTTTGCTCAGTAGTGAAGTTGAAATCCTACATGGTAGGTCGTGATTTTTAATCCCGTGAGCTGGGAGTTTTCCAGGTAAAACTCTATTGTGTCATTTACTTACTGTTGTGTGTGTGTGCATTCTGTGGGAACTAATAGAGAACCTAGTTCTCTATATAGTTTGGTGGACCCTTAGTTTCTATCATTACATATGTTATGTTGTGTAGGATGTTATTACGAGTAAAGAAGCGAGTTTGGAGATAACATGGATGATTTGGAGCTTTGAAGTCTGAGTAGAAGCCCAATAAATTAAGTCGGGATCACGTTCGGGGGCCGAGGATCAAGTATGGATGTCAAAAAGGTAAGGAAAAGAGATTACTCTTAGAAAAATGCACTACTGCGTTGCACCATGCGCCGCGGGGCGCGGGGCACTAGTGCATAATCCCTAGAGAGTAAAAAAAATCAACTCTCTGAAGATCCTCAATAATGTGGCGCATGGGGCAGCGCATGGTGCACCGCGCTAGTGTATTTTTGCGGTCCATTTGTCCCACTTCGACTTGGAAAGGGTAGTTTCGCCCGGGTCCGTTCCTACATGGTATAAATACATCAAAAATACGATTTTTAGGGACTTGACCTTGGAAGCTTTTGGAGAGCATTGGAGGCTACAAGATACAAAATTTCATCATCTTTCCATCAATTCAATATGGGAGTTTGGATTGTAATGTTAGATTGATGTTTTCTTACTCATAATTTATATTTGTGATGACTTTCTCCATGATTATGGAGTATTTTACCTTAAGGTTTGACGTGATTTGGTGACTTGGTTGTTTTTTATGGATTTGGCTATTGTTAAATTGCTTGAGTTTCTTGGAGGAGCTTTAATTTTAGTTGTGATTTTATTCTTTATAGTGTTTAATCGAAAGAGGAATATCTTATTGAATATTATTGCAGCGTATATCTTAGTTTATTTTGGTAATTTTTGATGTAATCAAGAGAGCTTTTTGAGTTACTATTTAAATTAAGATTGAGAAATATTCGCGAGAAGTTTCTCTTAGATCAGTCCTACCAATAGATTCTTGCAAGTTTCACCACACCTCACATTAGTTTATTTGGAAGATTTAGATTTAATCGAGAGATGAGTCTGAATCGGAAGTATACGCTAATCATCTATTGAATTCATGAGAATCGATAGAACCTCAAGAGTGAAATATAACAGTATCATATCCAGAATAAAAATCTTGCACCTATCATGCCAAACCCTTATTTCTCACATTGATAAGAAACAAATTCTGCTAATCTCTAGTTCTTTGCAGTCAATTGTCAATTATTTTACTTTAGTAGTAAATCGTAGTTCGTAATCATTCTCAATCAAGCTTTGATCATGCTGAATAGAAGTTAAACCAGGAATTACTAGAGCATTGTTTAAATCCAATCCATGTGGAGACGATAATCATACCATTCTATCTTTGGCTAGCGAGCATCAATTTTGTGTTGTGTTTTGCGCTCGTCAAATTTCGGCGTCGTTGTCACACCTCCTTTTTCACTACACCCCGTAAAGGGATATAAGGGAGTTATTCCAATTAAAGGACAATCGAAACGGGATTTTTTGATTAAAAGATTCAGAGTCGCCACTTGGGAGATTTATGGTGTCCCAAGTCACCGGTTTAAAATCCCGAATCGAGGAAAAGAATGACTCTGTTTAACAGTCCGCGAACCAGAAATCCGAGTAAGGAATTCTGTTAACCAGGGAGAAGGTGTTAGGCATTCCCGAGTTCCGTGGTTCTAACACGGTCGCTCAACTGTTATAATTGGCATAATTATCTGATTTTAATACATTTTGAACCTATGTGCAAATTTTAGTTTTTAACCGCTTTTATTCAATTTTAAAAGAATGTTGAATGTCGTTTAAAACATGTCTTTGGATCGCGTCACATTAAATGCACCCGCAATCCGGAACACGTCTTATTCAACGTTTTGAGATTTGGATTTGGGTCATATGAAATGCACACCCGAGTTTAAGAAGGTAAAATTATTAAATAGCGCGCCTAAAAGCAACTAACGCGTTGTTAACTTTGCAAGGGCCATGAAAATTCGCTAAATGGCACGCCCCGTATTCTAAAGATCTTAAAGGTATAATTAAAGAGGGCCACGCAATTCATGAATTTGTTTGGCGCGGTGCACCTTAATTTATTTTTAAAAGGATGTCCTAAAGATGCACTATGGTTATCTATTAAAGTTTGCCTCTATTCTAAAAAACTTAACTTATTAATGTTGTGAATTAACTAACACTCAAGTATTCAAGAAAGTTTAGGCCCCAAGATCAAGTCTAAACTCAAACAAGGACGATCTCCATTGTTGAAGAAAACCTTAGTTCAAGTCTGCCACTTAACTTGAAGGGCCCAAAGCCTATAATTCAATTTTGAAAAAAACATCAACTCCGATAATAAATCAGGGGTTCCAGCATATTGAGCTCGAAACCAGCCCAGAATATATACTTATACCAGTAAACATATTAATCCTATAATCATTTTTCATGCTCTCACAATATTCCAAATTTGAACTTGAACTAATATTTAAAAACATGACCACAGAACCCTAAAGACACTCAACAAGAATCACCACCATTATAGATCAAACTACTAAGGATTTCCATACATCACGAACAACGTAGCTCAATTACTGTAGTCTAACCAACCTACTACATAAATATCAATCTTACACATACTAGACAGTAATATAATCTAACTATTCCCAAATTGTTTTTACATTCAGATAACATGGATTGCAAATTTGACTTATAACACTAAAACTAAAGAGCAAACGAAATCCAAACACATCACAGTTTCACAGCATGAGAATTTGACTACTTAAATGGAATTCAACTAAGACTATACTATGAGTAATTGAAGGAACATGAACATCAGTCAAGGAAATAAAGAACTAAAGTAAAATAGTGCTTCCATTTCATCCTTAAATCAAGCTTTACATCATGAAGGAATCAGAAATTTGTACCTGGAAGAAGAAAGAAACAAAGAAGAAGTGAGACAGTAGGTTTAGCAACAGCAGTAGCAGGGACAATATTTCAGCAGCAAAATAGCCCAGGAATAACGGAGGAAGATCAACTTAAAACCCAAACTTGAACCAGCAATATATCAGTAAAACCAGCTATCAAAATCGAAACAAAGCTGACCCAAATACTTGAATATCAAACCAAGTTCAACTCATTTTCAACTTCTGACTATTCAGAGATCGTTTTAACAAAGAACACCTCAAGGATCTCAGAAAATTTTAATGGAACGGTATTTTTTAGAAAACTCAGCCGCCTGGAACTTTTCAGAATTTTCAGTACTTCTATCCTTGCCTTCAAAGGCAAGAATGATATGCTTTTATAGGCCAAGCCATAGGGCAATCCTCAGATTTTATTTTGCCCCTTAGGTCCCTGATTTTATGACTTGTTGGCCAAGTTATACTACCCAAAAGCCTGAAAATGAAATTAGACCCCATACTAGAAGCTTCTAGGGGCTTCCCAATCTGTTACTGCAATATTCCCTAACTAAACTACCCAACCTACCCTTGAACTCCCCTGATATTTACCCCTGAAACCTATGGGTATGGGTCGTGGGTCAATGACCCAATTTTCTGAATAAACGAGTCAAATTTCAAACCCAAATCTACCCCACAAGAATCAGAAACCCAAGCAGCCCCAAAACGTGATAAGAAACATCCCAGGCCACAAAGAAGCAAACCCAAATTATTTCAGTCATTTTAGCAACACATAGAAACGAGCCAAAAATGGAATCAAAATACTGAAGAAACAA